AAGGGACCGTCCCCGAAGGTCGGCCGGCCAGCACAGCCGCCAACGAGAAGCATGGGTGGGGGCGGGAGGTAGCACCTTTGCATGTTAAACGCACCCCACACGTGGGGAGGGGGAGGGGCAGGACCGGCCGACAAAAACACACACTAAAAAGGCACTTCTGGTTTCCTTTCCTTTTCTTTTTAAAAAAAGTTTTATTTTTTTAAACTTTGTGGGGTGTTTTTTTTTTTTTTTAATTGCTAACTTGTGATGTGTCTCCTCCCACTTCTCCGTGGGAGACTTTTGGCAGGGAAGGGGGCAACGGTTGGACAATCCACTCTCCCCCCCCCCTCTGAAATGTATGCACGCACCCACACCCGTGTCCACGTAATATGCACGCCGTGGTGCCAGTGGAAAAACACACAACACCGCTCGTCCCCGCGTCCTTTGAATGCACGATTAGAGACAAGGGCAATTTTTTTTCTTGCGGGGTAGAAGGGGAGCAAAGGGCTATTTTAAATGCACCCCTCCTTTTTTTCTTCTTTTCTTTTCTTTTTTAAAGCACAACAGCTCGAGAAAGAAAAAAAAGGGAAATGTCATTTTTTCCATCTTCCCTGCAGCTGGATGGGCTTTGCCAGCTGCATGAGGGAGGGGGGGGAAGCAGAGGATACCCGGAGACGGGGTCGCGGTGCACTGGGTTGGGTGGAAGGCTGTCCGGGAACAAATTACGGCGAGGGAAAAGGGACAAAAAAGTTAAAAATGTAGTAGGCAGGTCGGTCCATCCGTCACCGCTGCTTCCGGGATGGGTACAAAGAGGAGAGGGTCAGAGTCGGCCACCGTCCGCTCAACCTTGTCTCTTTTTTCTCCGGAATGGCATTGTTTGCTGTTATTTCTCTTTGTCTTTTTTTATTTTATTTTTTAAACGTTTGAGTAATAAACTTGTAATTCCGTGGTCTCTCGTCGGATTCTTGCCCCCCCCCCTCCCACCTCCCCCTCTCTCCTAATGGCATAGAATGGCTCAGTTTTGCATCCCGGCTAAGAGGGTTTGAATAGAATGAATGAGAAGGGAGAGTGGGGCGGTGGCCTAGAAGTGGGGCGCTCTCGCCTCACAATCCGGAGGCTGTGAGTTCGATTCTAGATAAAGGCAAATATTTCTCTCAATGAGAGTCTGCAGAACAAAACTCCGCATTGGCGACAGGAAGGGCATCCGGCCAGTAAAACACTCTGCTTAGCTCCATTCAGTTGTCTGGACTCCATCCCGCAAGGGATTATGGGGTCGTTAAATGATGAATGAGCTGGAAAGGACCTTGGAGGGCTGCTCAAGCAGGACAGCCTTGGTAGTACAGTGGTCTAAAGCACCCTGTTATTAAGACCAGCTGCCTGCAATTACTGCAGGTTCGAATCTCTCCAAGGCTCAAGGTTGACTCAGCCTTCCATCCTTTCTAAGGTAGGTAAATTGAGGACCCAGTTTGTGGGGGCAATAAGCTGACTTTGTATAAATATACAAAAGTATGAAGGCTATTGCTTAGCGCATTGTAAGCCGCCCTGAGTCTCCGGAGAAGGGCGGCATATAAATTAAAAAAAAACAAAAAACCCTATACTATTTCAGATAAGTGATTGTCTACTCTCTTCTTGAAAACATCCAATGATTTCTGGTGGCAAGCTGTTCCACTGGTTAATTGTTCTAACTTTCAATAAATTCCTCCTTAGTTCTAGGTTGCTTATCTCTTTCATTAGTTTCCATCCATTGTTTCTTGTCCTGCCCTCAGGGGCTTTGGAGAATTTGACCCCCCCCACCTCCTCTTTGGGGCAGCCCCTCAAATACTGGACTACTACTATCGTGTCACCCCTAATTCCTTTCTTTAGACTAGCCAGACCCAAATCCTGCAGCTGTTCTTCCTATGGTTTAGTCTCCGGGCCTTTGACCATCGTAGTCGTTCTTCTCTGAACTTTTTCCAAAGTTTCCAACATTGTTTTTTGTAGTCTGGTGACCCCAAATCAGGTTTTTTTTTTTGCACATACATACCGTAGATTTGCACACAGTTCTGCTGCTCTCCCCTGGGTCGTGCGTAGAGGCGGTTGCGCAGGGAGGGCAGAGGAAAACTTCAGGGGGTTGGAAATGAAGGGCGAGAGAGACGGAGGGGGTGTGTTTAGAAGATGGAGCAGATAGGGGAAGACAGAGAGTGAAGAGAGGCACAGTGACACACAGACAGAGAAAGAGAAAGACAGAGAAAGAGACAGACAGACAGACAGAGACAGAGACAGAAAGAGAGAGACAGACAGAGAAAGACAGAGACACAGAGAGAGACACAGAGAGACAGAGACACACAGACAGACACAAAGACAGACATAGAGAGACAGACACAGAGAGATAAAGAGAGACAGACAGAGAGAGACAAAGACAGAGAGACACAGACAGACAGACACAGACAAAGAGAGACACAGACAGAGAAAGAGAAAGAGAGAAAGAGACAGAGAGACACAGACAGACAGAGACAGAGAAAGAGAGACACACAGAGACAGAGACGGATAGAGACACACAGGGAGACACAAAGAGACAGACACAGAGAGACAAAGACAGAGAGACACAGACAGACAGACAAAGAGACACACAGAGAGAGACAAAGAGAGACACAGAGAAAGAGAGAAAGAGACAGAGACACAGACAGACAGAGACAGAGAAAGAGAGACACACAGAGACAGAGACGGATAGAGACAGAAAGAGAGAGACAGACAGAGAAAGACAGAGACAGAGAGAGACACACAGAGAGACAGAGACACACAGACAGACACAAAGACAGACATAGAGAGACAGACACAGAGAGATAAAGAGAGACAGACAGAGAGAGACAAAGACAGAGAGACACAGACAGACAGACACAGACAAAGAGAGACACAGACAGAGAAAGAGAAAGAGAGAAAGAGACAGAGAGACACAGACAGACAGAGACAGAGAAAGAGAGACACACAGAGACAGAGACGGATAGAGACACACAGGGAGACACAAAGAGACAGACACAGAGAGACAAAGACAGAGAGACACAGACAGACAGACAAAGAGACACACAGAGAGAGACAAAGAGAGACACAGAGAAAGAGAAAGAGAGAAAGAGACAGAGACACAGACAGACAGAGACAGAGAAAGAGAGACACACAGAGACAGAGACGGATAGAGACAGAAAGAGAGAGAAAGAGAGACACAGAGAGAGACACAGAGACAGAAAAAGACAAAGACACAGAGAGAGACAGAGACACACAGAGACAGAGACACAAAGAGACAGAGACACACAGAGACAGAGACACAGAGACAGACACAGACAGAGAGACACAAAGAGAGAGAGAGAGAGAGAGAGCTGGCTGGGGAATTCTGGGAGTTGAAGTCCACCAATCTTTAACAGTTGCCAAGATTGGACACCCCAGGTTTACAACGCATTATTCTGCCACACACACACACAGCCCGCCAAATATTGGCTGTACCAATTGGGTACGATGGGCGTTGTAGTCCAACCCCTTCAAGAGCCACCAGCTTGGGAAAGAGTTTTACAAAACCTCCCATTTTCGTAAGTCTTGATTTATAGGTTCACCCTTTTAATAGATCTGGTTCATAGAAAGCCCCCCCCCATTTGATAGATTCTTTTTATAGCTCCACCCTTTTAAAAAAATATCCTATTTATAGACCCCTTTTATAGATCCACCCTTATTTGATTTATAGAAATCCTCTGTTGATGGATCCCTTTTATAGATCCCCTCTTGCTATCAGTCCAATTTATGGAACCACTTTTTGATAGATCCCTTTTATAAATCCACCCTTGTTATATGTTTGATTTATAGAAATCCTCTGTTGATGGATCCCTTTTATAGACCCCCTCTTGCTGTAAATCCGATTTATGGGGGGGGGGAAACACCTTTGATAGATCCCTTTTGATAGATCCACCTTTGTTATAGGTTTGATTTATAGAAATGCTGTTGACAGATCCCTTTTATAGATCCAAAGGACTACAAGGCTCTTGCTGTACGTCCGATTTACAGAACCCCCCCCCTTTGGATAGATTCATTGATAGATCCACCTCAGGGGTGGAGCTCCCAAACAAAGAGAACTGGTTTGGTGACGTCATATCGTCACCGCTACTGGTTCGGCCGAACCTGGAGGAACCCACCACTGATCCACTTTTCCCTTTCCAGCCGTGGATGGAGGTCAAACCGTGAAGGAACGAGATTTTCGGGCACCGTTTTAACCAAGCGAAACCGTTTTACCGTTCAACGCACAACCGTCTCAAAGGAATTTTCGATGTTTCGTTTTTTTGGTTTTGTTTTTTTTTTTAGAAAAACCACAAACTCACACAAATATATCACGCACAAAACAGAAAACAGATCCGAAGTTAGCGCAGGCAGGCAAGAGAAGTCACCCGGTGCACACAGCCGGGAACCAGACGGCAGGGAAGGGCCCAAGACGGACTTTCGGGCGTCGAGACAATGTGACGGAGAGGCGAGAGATCGGCTGTGGGGTGAGAGGGTGGGGGGCACAGGAGCTGCCATGCAAACAGGGTTGGGGGGGATCCCGAGGCACACACACCCCCATTTTGGTGGGGCGAGGAAAAGGGAACAGTGGGGTGAAAAATACATGGAAACAAGGGATTCCAGCTTGAGACACCACAGTCGACAAAAGTGAATTTGAGTGCAGGTAGTCCTCGACTTACGACCATCCGCTTAGTGACCTGTTCCAAGTTAGGACGCTACTACTGAACAGACCGATTTAGAACGGGGGGGTCCTCTCACTTGCGACCCCGTGATCACACGACCCAAAGTTCAGGCGTACTTTTAACGATGGTTGGAGGGTCTCGGGGGGAGGGGGGGAGGCATCACCCATGCTGTTCGCGATTTTCTCAGCAAGCTTCACAAAGCAGTGGGGAAAGCCAGGTTTGCTTAACGACCACGTGATTCACTTAACGACAGCAGCCAAAAGGAGGTTATCGAACTGGGCCTGACTCCGTGACGGCGCGCTTCACTTAAAAGCAACCAGAGAATTAAAATTGTCCCTGGCTCCGTTGATGAGAACGTGCTTCGACGGAAGTACAATTGGGGTGACTGAATCAATGACCATGTGATCCACTTAACGACGGCAGCAAAACGAGGTGAACAAAATTGGACACGATTCAACGACCCGCTTAGCGACCAAAGTTCTAGTCCCAACGGTGGTCGTAAGTGAAGGACTACCTCCGCTTTGGCTCAGTTGTGAAATGAAAACACAAAAAAGATAAATAACCTCTCCGGGCGGAGGCACGTCTGTGTTTGGCCGGCGTGTAGGATCAATGCTAAAAAAATAAAAATTCGGGCTCCGTACAAAGGGCCCCACCCCAAAATGGACGACAGAAACAGAGCAACCCTGGCAGAAAATAAAGCTACGGGGAAAAGCAGCTTCGCTCTTAATTTTTTTTTTGTTCCCTTTTTCTGCCGTTCGGAGAGACGTTTTGTGCTGTTTTCGGGAAGAGCGCGAAGGTTGGCTTTTAAGAGAGACTGGACTGTGCTTGAAGACAAATTGGCAGTTTCGGGATTGTCCCCCCCTCTTGGCCCTCCCGGCCCTTCTCCTCCTTATGGATGGGAGACCAAGAGGATAGCATTTTGTGCAAAATTCCTTTCCTTCGTTCCAAAAACTCGGTTCGGATGGCCTTCCGATGTCCGGGCACAAGCAAGCTTCCTTCCATTAAACCGTGGCTTGAAGTAGGGCAGGATGGAGGAGAGAGGTAACAGATCCTGCTCCCCTTTTTAAATTCTTGAGCATTGGCCAAAGGCCAATGGCTCCAAAGTCTTCAATTAATGCAGGAGAACAAGAGAAATTGGACAGGTGTGAATCCATCCCTTCCACCCCTCATATCAGACGCAGCAGCCACGGACGACGACAGCTTTCCCCCCGCCCAAAAAATTTCTCCTTCCCCTTAATAAGTCTTCTCCGAGACACCGTCTCGAACTCGTGACTTGGGCTGGTCCAAAGCCAAGATGGCAGCCCCACCTGGTCCCTGCTGACACGGAAGACCTAAGCACGCCCCAAATCGGACGCCGAAGTGGCAAGACGGGCGGTGGAGAGAGGGAAATTTTTAAAAAGGGGGGGGAGGGATCCTGCACGTTTACACAGGGAGGTGGGTCCCTCCGAGTGGTGTGAGGTCCTTTCCGGATTCTCAAAGTCCTGGATTCGAACCCGCCGCTTCAGAAGCCTTCGATATGGCAATAGGCTTCTAAAGCCGCTAAGAGGATGTAGACCAGCCAGAGGCTGACGAAAAGCAAGGTGGACAGAAGTTTCGGGGTTCGGGGACCGCCCAGCTCGCCCCCCACCGGAGGCCGGCGCCGGTACAACAGCACCGCGATGCTGATGAAGGCAAAGATGGTGAAAAGGGTGACGGAGAAGGCCAGGGAGCCCGGCTGCACCTCGAAGGGTTTTCCCTTGCTGGCCCAGTAGCTGGCGGCGATGGTCCAGGCCACACCGATGCCGAGGAAGACGTTAACCGCGTTGCTGCCCGTCACGTTGCCGATGGAAGCGTCGGCGTACTGGTCTTGGATGGCGGCCACCTTGCTGGCGAAGGTATCTAGAAAAAGAGACAGAGAGGACAGAGTCAAGCCACCAATGTGGGTTTGTGGGCCTCGCCAGGCATTGGAGGGGAAAGATGGCAACCCCTTTTCCGGAAGGGGGACCGCGAAGCTGCTTCGCGTCTCTCTTGAGGCTTCCTATCCTCTCGTCTTACGGCCATTTCTTAATTTTTCTGGATTTCCTAATTTCTAAAGGAAAAGCTAGCGGGTCGTTTTTTTCTTTACAAATCAATTGATGGGAGGAAAAATGAGATAGTAAAACGTCTTTCGGGCATCTGTGTGCCAGGTTGCCAGATAGGAACTGAAGTATTTTGTTCCAAACTCGGCAACTTTAAGATGGGGTAGGCTTCAACTTCCAGAATTCCCCAGCCAATCTGATTTATCGCCTTTTCTTAGGAATAAACTTCAATTTATTTCTAGGGATTTTAATCCTCCTTAAATAAACTTCAATTTATTTCTAGGGATTTTAATCCTCCTAAATAAAGTTCAATTTATTTCTAGGGATTTTAATCCTGCTAAATAAAGTTCAATTTATTTCTAGGGATTTTAATCCTCCTAAATAAACTTCAATTTATTTGAAGTTATCAAGGGCACCGTATTCTCGTCCTGATTTTGATTAACAGGTCAATTAAGCAAATTCTCCAGACTTTGGGTCCTAATTATACCGGGCACTGTAGGCAATATCAGTGATTTAATTGGCCTCTCTTGAAAGCCCCTCATTCCTGGCCATGATTAAACCAGTATTTCTTAAACTTGACCATTTTAAGACTGTGGACGTCTATACACAGCGTGCTGGCTGGGGAATTCTGGGAATTGAAGTCTTAAAAGTTGCTAAGTTTGAAAAACGTTGATTGAAACACCTGTAACTTGCACTTAACAGTCCCAGTTAACCAAGGATTTTAACTCTGCTATCGAACCAAACCCTCACCCCAAACCGAGATTTTGCAACTGGACAAACAGCCATTCCCAAGCGTGCCTGTTTTGCAGAGAAGCTGCAAAATGAATGAATGAATGAATGGATAAATGAAGGAAGGAAAAGAGATAGTCCACAATTTACAACCACAACTAAGCCCAAAATTTCTGTTGTTAAGTGAGGTTTTGCCCCATTTTTTCAACCATTCCTGCCACCGTTGTTAAATGAATCCCTGCTGTTCTTAAGTTAGTAACCCGGTCGTTAAGCGAATCCAGCTTCCCCCTTGACTTTGCTTGTCGGAAGGTCGCAAAAGAAAAATCAATACACCCACCGCCCCCTGGGGCCCTGCAAAGATCATCAATACAAACCAGTTGCCAAGCGTCCAAATTTTGATCGCATGATGGGGACGCTGCAAAGCTCCCGGTCACCTTTTGTAACTTGGGAACAGTCACTAAACAAACTGTCGTAAGTGGAGGACGACTTACTTTATGTTAATAACAAATTAAAAAAAAAACGCGGCTTGCCGCCGTGCAAAGTCACATAAGCCTTCCGACCAGCAATTTCTGGAGAAAAAAAAGGGGGGGATTTAACTCCCAAATTCACTTTTCTCGGTGAACGAGTGGGTTTGCACTAATAACAGCGCTACATTCCAAACCACCGATCAGAAACGAGAGGAGGGGGGAAAGGACTTGCAGGCGAGCAAGTGAACATTTGCATGTCAACCGTTCCACGATTTGGAGAGACAATGTTATCGCTACGAGCCTAAAAAAAGATAGAGGCTTTTTTTGTTTGTTTTTAACTGCTGTTTGTCGGGTTAAGCGAAAGGCGTTTTGCTCACGCCTGCTTTAAAATCCACCCGGCTGCTTCCACCGTCGTGGTGTTGTGTCAGCTGTGTGTTTCCCAAATTGACTTTTCGGCTCTCTCAGCCACGAGTCCCTGATTGCTGGCAGGGACCTGTTTTTTAGTGAGTCAAGGCTCCTTAAAATAGCAAAAAAGCAAATTTAGGATTGGCTCCGGAGGGGCCTGTCAAAGCATTGGTGTGCAAGGGTTGGGGGTGGGGGTGGGAGGGGCGGTGGTGTATCTGGGGACACCAGATTATTTCAAGAGAACATCTGCAAAACGGAGCGGTCCAACAGCTAAGCCTCTGGTGCAAATTCTGTTTTTTTTTGTTTTGTTTTGTTTTAAAGGTGCAAAGGGGGTTGCTCTTGTTGCCTCCAGAAATGGTGGGCTCTCCATCTCTTTTCAAGAAGAGACTAGGCAGCCACTTGTCTGAAACGGTGCAGGTTCTCCCCTGCTTGAGTAGGGGGCTGGACTAGAAGACCTCCAAGGGTCCCTCCCTCCCTTCCAGCTCTATTCTATTCTAAACATTCTGCAGCATCCCCACAGCCCAATTTAGGAACAAGCAAATTGGCAGCAGGATTTTCATTTCTAAGCAAGGCCCTGGTTAAATGAGTCACAGCTGATTTTTATAAGGTCCTTTTTTGTCTTAAAGGAATCATTAGCAGAATATTCTATTCTATTCCATTCCATTCCATTCCATTCCATATTTTCTATTCTATTTCTATTTCTATTATTTCTATTCTACATTCTATTCTATTCCATTCCATTCCATCTTTTCTATTTCTATTTCTATTCAAATTCCCTATTCCTATTCCATTCCATCCTATTCTAATTTCTCTATTCTATTCTATTCTATTCTATTCTATTCTATTCTATTCTATTCTATTCTATTCTATTCTATTCTATTCTATTCTATATCATTCCATTCCATATTTTCCATTCTATTTCTATTTCTATTATTTCTCTTTCTCTTATTTCTATTTCTATTCCTACTCTTAATTCCCTATTCCTACTCCATTTCATTCCATCCTATTCTAATTTCTTTATTCTATTCTATTCTATTCTATTCTATTCTATTCTATTCTATTCTATTCGATTCTATTCGATTCGATTCGATATTCGATTCGATTCAGTTCGATTCTACATTCCATTCCATATTTTCTATTCTATTTCTATTTCTATTTCATTCCATATTTTCTATTTCTATTCAAATTCCCTATTCCTACTCCTATTCTATTCTATTTCATTCTATTCCATATTTTCTATTCTATTTCTATTCTAATTCCCTATTCCTATTCCATTCCATCCTATTCTAATTTCTCTATCCTATCCTATCCCTCACAGTAGAATGCAGCATATCTGACACTACCCGTCCCCACGACTCACTCTGCGTCTGGACCTATGTGTGGTCTGGACCTATGTGTGTGTGTGGGTGTGTGGGTGTGTAAGTCCCTCTCCCACCCGTCACTAACCGGGCACGGAGGTACCCAGCGCCACGAACACCACCGCCGTGACCGAGTCCTTGAGTCCGATGGTGCAGCCGAAGTGAGAGGCCAGGTCCCCCGTGAGGGCGGTGAGCACCCCGATGAGGCAGATCGAGACCAGGAAGCAAGCCCAGCCGCACCAATACTCGGTGGGCGGCACGAACGCGAAGAGAACTTTCCAGAAGACGGTGAGGAAATGCATGATGTAGTCGAAGCAGGAAGGGAGACGGTCCTCGCCCGAATCGTCGTCTTCATCGTCACCTGCCCGGGAGGGTGTCATAAAAACACGGATTAACCTCTCTCGGTAAGAGAAACAAGACTTCCAGTTGCTGCCAAAACACTTGATGGGAAGTTATTTATTGCTCAAAGAGCCATTAATGTTAACCCATATAGTGTGGCTGTAGTATTATTAATTATCCTTATCTTCTATACTTTCCCCTTCTATTGGTATTATTATTATTACTATTAGTATGATCTCATTTATTCATTAAACATGAAACTCATGTCAACTGAACATTTAAAAATGTATCACAAATATCATTGTGATAATATCGTCGTCATTATTATTATTATTATCATCATTAGTATAGAATTTTAATCTTCAGTTCAGACTGGGACTGATAAAAACAGTTCAAGTCCAAACCAAGGACCTAAGGAACTATGAAGGTAGCATCTGAGTACACAGTAGTGGCCAAAATTGTGGAAACCTTTCAGGAAAAATGTATTTTTGAAGTTTGATGGCTAATAACACCACTTTTTTTGGGGGGAGTTTCAAAATAATCATATTCCACTGGTTGAATGGCCTGGGAATAGCCCAGACCTGCACCCAATTGAAAATCTAGGGAGCCGACAAAAGAAACTGGTTAGTCAGAAGCGAGCCAGCAATAAAACCCAGTTAATAGAAGCCATCATTCCATCTTGGTTTCACATGATAACAGCTGCAGAACTAAAAGACTTGGTTCACTCCATGGGAAGACATTGTAAGGCCGTCATTCATGCTAAAGGTTACTCAACTAAATATTAACTGACATGGTGATCATTTTTGTATATCTCATTTTTTTCTACGTGTTTCACTTTTCTTCTTTATACTGTTAACTGCTATTCTAATAGCAAATCCTTCCTAAAAGTTATTGCATTACATTCTTGATTCAATTATCTTTCCGTTGATGTATCATTTTATGGTACGACTCCCCATAAAAAGTGGTGTCCTTAGCTAGTTTTAGAAAATACACTTTTCCCAAAAGGTTTCCACAATTTTGGTCACTACTGTATATAGGCAGTTCTGAGTAAGGTGGTTTGTTTATCCCCAAAGTCAGAATATTCAGGTCTAATAAGTTCCAAATTTCCACATATCTAAGCAGCCTTTTGGGTAATCGCTCCAAGGGCTCCCATTACTATTGTTATAATCGTTGCTTTCTTCCTCCACAGTCGCGCAACTTGGATTTGCAAATCGCGATATTTCGTTTTATATTTTTTCTAGCTCTTTCTCTTCCGTTCGTGCGTCACCTGATACTGCAATATCAACGAATGAACGATTATTAATAATACCGTGTGTTTCCCTGAAAATAAGACCGAGCCTTACATTAATTTTTTGCTCCAAAAGACGCATTAGGGCTTATTTTCAGGGGATGTCTTATTTTTTTGGGTGTGGGGGGGGGGAATACATTACTAAATAGGGATGCGGTGGCTCAGTGGCTAAGACGCTGAGCTTGTCGATCGAAAGGTCGGCAGTTCAGCGGTTCGAATCCCTAGTGCTGCCGCGTAACGGGGTGAGCTCCCGTGACTTGTCCCAGCTTCTGCCAACCTAGCAGTTCGAAAGCAAGTAAAAAATGCAAGTAGAAAAACAGGGACCACCTTTGGTGGGAAGGGAACAGCGTTTTCCGTGCGCCTTTGGCGTTGAGTCATGCCGGCCACATGACCACGGAGACGTCTTCGGACAGCGCTGGCTCTTCGGCTTTGAAACAGAGATGAGCACCGCCCCCTAGAGTCAGGAACGACTAGCACATATGTGCGAGGGGAAGCTTTACCTTTACATTACTAAATACGTCCCTCTTAACTGGGGTTTATTTTGGGGGTAGGGCTTCTATTACAAGCATCCTGAAAAATCACGCTAGGGCTTATTTTCCAGTTGGGTCTTATTTTGGGGGAAAACAGGGTAGGAGTAGCAGTACTAGTGTTCTCTCTGTTGCTTTGCATGCACACGGAGGGCTTCTGCACCGGAGAAAAACTCCTTGTGTGTCGAATCGCACTTGGCCAAATTGAAAATATTCCCTTCAATTCCATTCAATTCTTCTTACCGGCACTGACGGTGACGGCGCTTACGAACTGCTCTCGCCAACTGCTGCTTCCCACCACGAGCGCCAAGTTGGTTTTCTTGATCAATTTGTCCACAGTGCTCTGGAGGAAGAAGAGGTTGGGGAGAGGTGAAACGGGATGTGGGGGGGGGATCTTGGGGGCTCCCCCCTCCCTTAGCAATTGTTTAGCTTTCAATGCTGCCTCTGATCAAAGCTAACTGAGCACCGCACGGCATGGAATAAAAGATCATTATTTTTTCAAACAATTGTGGTTTACGGCCACAATTGAGCCCAAAATTTCTGCCGCTAAGCGAGACAGTTGTTAAGTGGGATTTTGTCTCATTTTTACGACCTCTCCTGCCACAGTTGTACAGTGAATCACTGCAGTTGTTATCCTATCTGCTCGCGTTTCCATTACTTCTCCTGATCAGAAGCCGGAATTTATTACAAAGAATAACGTGCTTAAGACTACAATACAGGAAGTCCTCGACTTACGCCCACAATTGAGCCGGACATTTCTCTCGCTAAGTGAGAAATTTGTTAAGTGAGTTTTGTTCCGTTTGATGACTTTTCTTACATTGGTTAAGTGAATCACTGCCGTGGATAAGTTAGTAACGTGGTCGTTAAGTGAATTTGGCTTCCCCATGGACTTTGCTTTGTCAGAAGGTCGCAAAAGAGGATCACATGACCCCGGGGACATTGCAACGGGCATAAACATGAGTCAGTTGCCAAGCGTCTGAATTCTGATCATGTAACCACAGGGATGCTTGCAACGGTCATAAGGGTGAAAAACAGTCCTTTTTCCAGTGCTGTCGTAACTTCAAACGGTCACTAAATGAACAGTTGTAAGCTGAGTGCATTTGATGAGAAGAGAACTGGGATTGACGGGTCCGAAGAAGACTTGTACAAATTTGGATGAGAGACAGAGACAGAGAGAGAGACAGAGAGACAGAGACAAAGAGAGACACAGAGAGAGACAGAGAGAGACAGAGACAGAGACAGAGACAAAGTGAGAGACAGAGACAGAGACAAAAAGAGACTGTGACAAAGAGAGGGAGAGACAGAGAGAGACAGAGACAGAGAGAGTGAGACAGAGACAGAGAGAGACGGAGACGGTTATTACCTTGAACTCGTAAGATTCCTCAATGATAACTTCAAGTTTGGCATTTTCTCCCAAACTGGGGTATCCCATTTTGGCAATTTTCTCCTCCCCTGCAGGCAATTGATTCTCGTTAGTATCACCTAGGATAGGATGGGGAAAAAGAGATTGGTGGTGTAACGGACCTAGGAGAAAGACCTCGAGCAACGGAGGAAAAAGAAGCTGCTTAGGGAATGGTTAGATAAGAGGCCACGGTAGCCCTCAGCTACACAATGGGTGGAGAAAAAGGATTCAAAGAGACTCTCTACTAGCTTCTCCGGATTTAAGTGAAAACTGGATGGGGGGAATTTCTTCCTTTTTCATCTTCCCATCCTTACCGTGCCGGAGTCCGATGTCCAAAATAACTGGGGGGTCCCAACTCCAGATAGAAATTCTTATTTTTTTCATACTCCTCATCATCAATAATTTTTATCTCGATGTATCTTCTAAGAGAGGGAGAAAGAAACCAGTTCAAACTCAAACTCCAACACTGACAGAGGTAGGCAGGGCAAACTCTTAACACCTCTGCCCCAAAATGTTTCCAACTTTCTTTTTTTTAAAAAAATAATAATAGTCGGCTTCTATATTTTCCAGCTGGAAAATATAGAAGTTTTACTCCAGTTCCCAGAGGTGAACATCTCTCGGCAGCCATTTGACGGCCACACTTCGAAGAAATGACAAGGTAGACATTTGTCCCCGGGCTCCTTTCGGATGAGCAAGGAGAAAAAACATATATATGGATAGCCTAAGAGGATTAAGATATGCAGGGAATTTATAGCCAGGACTCCCAGTGATATCGGCTCTGCTCAACTCATGGCATAGGGCCTAGCTATCTGCGAGACCGCCTGCTGCTACCGACGACCTCCCAGCGACCCGTGCGCTCCCACAGAGAGGGCCTCCTCGGGGTGCCATCAGCCAAACAATGCAGGCTGGTGACCCCCAGGGGGAGGGCCTTCTCTGTGGGGGCACCCACCCTCTGGAATCAGCTCCCCCCAGAGATAAGGAGAATCCAAGACCTCAGTGCCTTCCGTCGCGCCCTTAAAACCCATTTATTTAAACAAGCCGGGCTGGCTTAAGATGAAATTTTTAACTGTTTTTAAATGTTTTAAACGTTTTTAATTGGTAAATGAGTTTTAATTGGGCCAAATTTATATATCTTTTAATTGTTTTTAATATTTGTTCTGCATGTTTTTTTTAATCTGGCTGTACACCGCCCTGAGTCCTTAGGGAGAAGGGCGGTATAGAAATCCAATATAAAATAAAAAAATAAAATAAACCCCTCTGGACTGCCAAAACTTCTGGAAAATCAGTTCTAAAATCAGTTTATAACCAATTTCGTTGTATACATGATGTACAATGACAATAAAGGCTGCTGTTGTTGTTGTTGCTGTTGTTGTTGTTGTTGTTGTTATTATTATTATTATTATTATTATTATTATTATTATTATTATTATTATTATTGGTGAAAGGTAAAGGTTCCCCTCGCACATATGTGCTAGTCGTTCCCGACTCTAGGGGGCAGTGCTCATCCCTGTTCCAAAGCCGAAGAGCCAGCGCTGTCCGAAGCCGTCTCCGTGGTCATGTGGCCGGCATGACTCAACGCCAAAGGCGCATGGAATGCTGTTACCCTCCCACCAAAGGTGGTCCCTATTTTTCTACTTGCATTTTTTTTTGACATGCTTTCGAACTGCTAGGTTGGCAGAAGCTGAGACAAATCACGGGAGCTCACCCATTATACACGGCGCTAGGGATTCGAACCGCTGAACTGCGAAACTTTCGATCGACAAGCTCAGCATCTTAACCCCTGAGCCATATTATTATTATTATTACTTTATATATCTCTATCTCTATTTCTATCTATCTATATCTATCATTTCTATCATCTATCATGTACTATCTATATCTACCTATTGATCTATCATCTATCATTTCTATCATCTACTATCTATATCTATCTATCATCTATCATTTCTATCATTATCTATTTCTATCTATCATTTCTATCATCTACTATCTATATCATTTCTATCATCTATCATCTATCTATCATCTATCATTTCTATCATCTACTATCGATTTCTATCATTTCTATCATCTACTATCTATTTCTATCTATCATTTCTATCATTATCTATTTCTATCTATCATTTCTATCATCTACTATCTATATCACTTCTATCATCTATCATCTATCTATCATCTATCATTTCTATCTACTATCTATATCTATCTATCATTTCTATCATCTACTATCTATATCTATCTATCTATCATCTATCATTTCTATCATCTACTATCTATATCTATAGATCTATCTAGCTATCTAGCTATCTATCATTTCTATCAACTATCTATTTCTATCATTTCTATCATATATCATCTACTATCTATCTATCATCTATCATTTCTATCTATCATTTCTATCATCTACTATCTATTTCTATCATTTCTATCATCTATCATCTACTATCTATCTATCATTTCTATCTATCATTTCTATTATCTACTATCTATATCTATCTATCTATCTATCTATCATCTACTATCTATCATCTATCATTTCTATCATCTATATCATTTCTATCATCTACTATCTCTATCTATCTATCTATCTATCTATCTATCATCTATCATTTCTATCATCTACTATCTATATCTATATCTATCTATCTATCTATCTATCTATCTATCTATCTATCTATCTATCTATCTATCTATCTATCTATCTATCCATCTATCCATTCCTCCTGTCTTTATGATTTTTCTCCCAAAGGACATCAAAAGATACAGAAGATTCTTGTAGATTTCATTCGGGTCTGCCAAAACAAACCCAAAGTAGGTTAAAGGAGGGGGGGAAAAGGGCTTATTTTTGATGGACGGGGCTGCATTTCTCGTCCTGTCGCTAGTTTTAAACTTTCTGCGCCTCCTCAATCACGTCTGGCACCTTCCTCTGGCTCTTCATGGCACCCTTCCCATGTGCCAGGACGGCCGTATTTCACACCGTCTCCTTTTCACTCTGGGCCTGCCTTGCGTGTCTCCCCCTCTCCCCGTGTTTTCACACCCTCCGGTTGACCCAGCGTGCCCCCCCCTCCACCACACTCCTCGCTGCTCTCGCCAATTAGGTCAGTCTCCGTCAAGTTGGGAGGCTAAGCGAAGCGATGCTTGGCAGAGGGAAGATGGAACGTTTTCCAGAAATGAATGCCTTGTGTCAGAGGCTTGGAGGGGCGGGTGGTGAAGGCAGCTCGGTTGAAGGGAGCCCGGGTGGGAAACGGGTTTGAGAACGGAGAGTCGTCTCTCGAAACCGTGGCTTCTCTGCTGTTTTTGTTACAAACGGATGTGGGGTTTTTTTTTTAGCATGAAACTATAATAGTACCCCTGAGCACTGGGGAAAGTGCCACGAATTGGACTAACTCTTGGATCCCGCTTGCATATTTTTAAGAACAGGCCATAGTGTCAACACTAAACATGATTTTAATAAGGAGATCTATCTATCATCTATCTATCTATCTATCTATCTATCTATCTATCTATCTATCTATCTATCTATCTATCATCTATCTTATTCTACTCATCAATCTAATTCTATTCTATCATTTTTTTCATTCTATCTCTGTCTCATGTCTCTATCAAACTATCTATCGCATTCCATCTAGCTCATTCTATCTATTAATCTATCTCATTCTTTCTATCTCATTTTGTCTGTCTGTCTCTTATCAATTCCATTCCATTTATCTCATTTTATCTTTCAATCTAACTCATTTTAACATTCTATCTGTCATCTCTCTCTTCTCTCTTCTCTCTCTCTCTCTCTCCATCTATCCATCCATTGGGGTATATCTATCCATTTCCTTCCTTCCTTCCTTCCTTCCTTCCTTCCTTCCTTCCTACCATCTATCTAGCCATCTGTCTATCATCTATTAACTATCTAATCTATTATCTATCTATATCTATCTTCTATATCTATATCTATCTATCTTCTATCTGTCTGTCTATCTATCTATCTATCTATCTATCTATCTATCTATCTATCTATCTATCTATCTTCTGTCTGTCTGTCTTCTGTCTGTCTGTCTATCTTTTGGGTCTGTCTGTCTATCTATCTTCTGTCTGTCTGTCTATCTATCTTCTGTCTGTCTGTATCTATCTATCTTTTGTGTCTGTCTGTCTATCTTCTGTCTGTCTGTCTGTCTGTATCTATCTTCTGTCTGTCTGTCTGTCTGTCTGTCTGTCTGTCTGTCTGTCTGTCTATCTATCTATCTATCTATCTATCTATCTATCTATCTATCTATCTATCTATCTATCATCTATCTATCTATCTACCTACCTACCTACCTATCTGATTCTTGCATCAGGTACATTGTAAACTGAGGACTACCTATACTGTTCTTTTTAAATATTATTTGATTATGCATGATGTTTGTTGTCTTTATGGCTGTTTTTAATGATCCTGTAAGCCACAAAGCGTCAGTACAACTCAGCACTACAGAAGCGATCGTCAGAAATAGCCATAAAATAAAATCGAGCAACAGCTCGATGAACCATGTTTTAATGCAGTCTCCAAAAAAACCTGCCCAGCACTTTAAAACTGCAGTGATTCGCTTAAGAACCCTGGCCAAAAAAAAAAAAAGTTTGTAAAATTGGGTTCTGACTCAACTTAACCGTCTCCTTGCCTAGCCATGGAAATTCTGGCCCCCGTTGTGGCCGTAAGCCGAGGACTTTTGTCAGTAAGCACGAAGTATATTTCTTTCCCATGTCTTTTTTTTTTTTAATCTTCATTTTTCTCCTCTACATTTTTTCCACAACAGCCCTGAAGGGTAGGCTGGGCCAGGAAGAATGACGGGGCTCAAAGTCGTTACATGAATATAAACCTGCCGATTTACCAATTTATTTTTTTTTATGATGCTTTCCCCCCCCCTTCTTGAAAAAAGGAATTAAAACCGGAAAACAGCTTTGTTTAAATGCACACAAAAGTTTTTGGAGTTTGTACCACAGTCAGTAAAAAAAAACCCAAAAACTGAACAACTGAACTGAACTGAACTGAACATTTTGTACCTAAATGTAGTAAAAAATAACAGATCCACGGCTCCCCTTTTACGATGGCTTATATCTTTTCTTGATTATTATAAACATTTATCATCTACCACCGCTTAATTCCACGTAGTAGCTGACTCCTTCCTGCCCGTAAAAAAACCATTAAAACAAATTAAAAACAGTTAAATCTGACAAACGGTGTTACCTAAAAGCTGGAAAATTTTTAATATCGAACCACATAATAGTCGGAGTGGAAATAAAAAGAATTTGAAGCACGGGAAGTGGGCACGTATCTGAGAGTTAAGACCTTGAGGGAACCGGAGAGGAAGAAAAGAAAACCTAAGAGTTATTTGGGAACTGGATGATGGTTTTTGTAATTTCCGGCCTGCCTTTTTACACCGGTTGGAAAGAGACTGTCCAGCATTTTAGAAATCTTTGCAATGAAGAAAAGCCATTGAACTGAATTATGGTGCCACCACCAAAAAGGCCATGCTCCTTATTGTGAGATGCTGTATGCCGACGCATATCATTCCTTCCTTTTTCAGGCTCTGTGAATAGTCGTCGAGTAACAGCAGCTCATTTAGTGACCATTCCAAGTTACAACGACCGAAAGTGACTCAGGACCGTTTTTCATACTTAACGACCGTTGCGGCCGGATCAAAATTCAGATGCTTCTTTTATGTTTAAATAATATAATGAGGATTACTATTTGATTAATGTGATAGAGATCGTTAACAGCGCTAACGAGAACTGGATCGATATGATAATCTAGTTAAGGAGTCAGGCAATTTTTGTTCAATGTTATGTTTGAACAATATCATGAGGATTGCTTAAATTTGGATAAATGTGATATAGAGGTTACTAATACTATTATTGTGAATTGGATTAATATATTAAAAAATAGATAAGAAGATAAGTGTAAAAGAGGAAAAGGGATTTTCCTTTTGCGTATTTTTAAATAATATAATGAGGATTATATCAATTTGATAAATGCGATAATTAACAATGTTAGCGTGAATTGGATCAATATGAATGATACCTAGTCAAATTTGTTTGTATATAATAGAGAAATGTTCACCATCACTGACCTATAATATCCATAACCCATTTTCCCTCCTCCCGCACATTCGTTGTCCTTCCCGCCCCTCCCCGCCATTCCCATTGGGGTCCCCATGCCGTGTTATCTTACACCGTCTCGTCGTTCTGAAATTCCACCTTGCCAGCCACTTCCTCATAATCCTCGCCGGCTTTAGCCGTGCCCTCGATGGTGTGATAAGGGATGGCCACTCGTCCACGGGCTCCCGAAGTCCTCAACACTTTGATGTGCACCACGCCTACGCTTTCGCTCACTCGCTTCGAGGGTCCCTCAAAGGTAAAGATACCGGCGTGGTCGTCGTCGAAGATCGTCACAGTGGCCATCTTGGAGGGCGCAAGACAAGCTTTCGGAGGAGGTTCTGGACCCGGCTCGGCCCAGGCTGCCCTGACGTTGCTGAGATGGACGTAAAAATACTCGTCCTCTTCAAAAATATCATCGTCAATGATCCCCACCCGCAGTTCCTTGTGTGTCTCTCCCGGCTTGAAGAGCAAGGTACCCTCTGCAAATTCGTAGTCGGAGCCAGCGTTGGCGGTTCCGTCCTCCGTACGGAAGTCCACTCGCACAGTGACGCAGGCCAGATCGCCTCCTCGACGGGCCACGGTCAGGACCACCGAGCCACAGTTCTCGAAGCACTGATAGTGAGCTGGCTCGAAACCGACTCTGGTCACCGATTCATCTTCCTCCGCCTGGACTTCTTGGATACTGATGGCTTTGCGGGCCTGATCGGCCGCGTGTTTCTTGAGGATGTTCCCGGCTCCGATCATCATACGGGTCGCTTGGATGCGGTAGAAAGCGCGGCTCTTCTGCTGCTGGACCAGTACCTGATAGTTGGCCATTTCGATCAGTTGTTCCATGTCCTTTTCAGGGTGCTTCTGTTTCAAATCCCGCAAGGTTCGAGCCATATCCCTGCGGGCTTCCTCGTCTTGATCCTTACCCGTGTCCCCCAGACCTTCCGATCCTTCTTTGAGCGAGTTATCCATCTCGATGTCCATTTTCGGGTAGCCGATATCACCCTCGCTCTCGATAATGAGACCTCGCGACTTATCCGCCCGGTACTTTTTATGGACGTACTTGTAGAAGAGGAGCCTCCGGTCAGCTATCCAAGCTTGGAGGACGCAGACTGGGAAAAACAAGAAGGTGAGAAGACCTTCCCAGAGTTCTACCTCACCGGGAGAGAACCAGGCCAAGATAAGGTACAACCAGATGTAAGCAAAGATGCTCCACGCCGCGGTGACGAAGAAAACCCGCAGGTGTTTGATGCGCCGTATCTCGCCTTGAGGGACCACGTGAATGCAAACGGCAATGATGATGAACATGTTAAAAGCGGCGCTGCCCACGATGGTGCTGGGACCCATGTCTCCTGCCTGAAAGCCGTGACCCACGATCTCGATGATGGACAGGAGTATCTCGGGGGCAGACGACCCCAGGGCCATCAAGGTTAGGTTGGACACCGTCTCGTTCCAGATGCGGATGGTTGTCGTCATGGTCTCCCCGTTGGGTTTCTTAATGGTGATCTCCTTCTCCTGCGAGGTGATCACTTCGATGGAGGCCATGAAGCGGTCGGCAATGATGGACATGCCCAGGAACATGTAGATGAGGGCCACAAAGTAAACGATGGCCCGGGCCACCTTATCTCCGACGGAAGGATTCTGAGGGAGCCACACAGGTAAGATCACACCTTCCTGGCACTCAGTGTGCTCCTGACACTTGGAGCTACGGTTGCCACCATCTGGAGAAGATGACCCAATCCTGGGTGGACCCAAGGCATCGTCCACTGTGGCTAGCAGCGACGGGAGGAACAGAGCCAAGAGCAGGATTGAGTTCCTCAGTGGAGACATGATGGAGAAGATGACTCTGGGGAGAGAGAGGAAAGAAAAATGGTTACAGAACCCATGACTCACAGCTGATAATAGGGTTTCTCAGAAGACTTGGCATGGTGAGATCATTGATGGAGACATTGAGGGCCACCAAGAAATAACTCATAAACACTCCAAAGATGACTCCCAATGTTATCCCTTCAGCGTTTCTCAACCTTGGCAACTTTAAGACTGGTGGACTTCAACTCCCAGAATTCCCTAGCCAGCCATACTGGATTTCTGGGAGTTGAAGTCCACCCATCTTAAAGCCTGCCAGCTGGGGAATTCTGGGAATTGAAAGTCCATTTATTTAAAGCACACTGGCTGGGGAATTCTGGGAGTTGAAGTCCATCACCTTAAAGTTGTTGAACTTGAGAAAGATTGCCCTGAAGTAATCTTTCTTGGACTACAATGACTAGAACTCATGGGAGTTGTAGTCCAACATTCTGGAGAACATGTCGTAGAAATCGAGCGAACCAGACTTAGCCTCATCAAGACCTCCAGCTCTCCCTCTGGCCTCCCAGAATCCCTTCCATCACGGATGAGATCTTTCTAAAAGAAGTTTTTGGATTCTAGGCCAATGCCTCCTGGGGATGATTGGACACGGAGTCCTGCTGCTCTCAATAGGATGATGGTCAAGGGAGACTACTTGATTTGAAGGCTCGTCCGTGAGATGCCAACGCTGATACCATCACAAGTTTGTCTTCCCTGTGAGAGGAGGGTGAATCAGAAATCTATTTAAACGCATTTATTTACATCGGTGTTTTTGTTCAAAACACAAATTTTCTAAAATGGACTTGGCTCCAGGGAATAGTAAGAAGAGAGTATTCAAGACAAGGCACCCAGCCAGCTCACTTCTGGAGAGGGAAGCCCTTACGCAACTTATATTCTCAACCGAGGTTCATAACCGGAGCCAGGATTTCTGTTCACTGTTCATTTATTTAATCTGTATCCCGCCTTTAATTATTTTTCACAACTAAATCAAGGCGGGGGAACCAACACGTACCTTCCTCCTCCCCCTCTTTGCCTCTACAACAACCCTGTGAGGTGGATCGGGCTGAGAAAAGGGGTCGGCCCCAAAAGTCATCCAATTGGCTTTCGTGAAGTCCTTGGCGCTCTCTGAGATGGATGGTTTTCCTGTAGACGTTTCATGACCCAACTAGGGAACATTATCAGTGCACGAAAGGAATGGGGATTGTGGAGATGATGATGATGATGAGGAGGAGGAGGAGGAGGAGGAGGAGGAGGAGGAGGAAGAGGAAGGATGTGGGTCCTTGATGCTGAGCTTGGTTTTTTTTTCTTGCAAACGTTTCATGACCCAACTAGGGAACATCATCAGTGCTCGAAAGGAATGGGGATTGTGGAGATGATGATGATGATGAGGAGGAGGAGGAGGAGGAGGAGGAGGAGGAGGAGGAGGAGGAAGAGGAAGAATGTGGGTCCTTGATGCTGAGCTTGGTTTTTTTTCTTGCAAACGTTTCATGACCCAACTAGGGTACGTCATCAGTGCTAGAATGGAGTGGGATGTGCATATAGGAGGAGGAGGAGGAGGAGGAGGAGGAGAACAAGGAATGTGGAGTCCTCAGTGCTCCCTGAGCTCGCTTATTTTCCTTCCAGACGTCTCATGACCCAGCTAGGCAACGCCATCCATGCTCATCAGTGCCTCACTTAGCACCAAACATTTCAGCTTCCGTTGCGGTCAGAAGTCGAGGACTACCTGTAGACCGAGGACTGCGAGGCTGCTTGGAAAGCACTCCCCTCGTGGTCTACAGGAGAGCCACGGCCTACTTGGGGGGGGGGGGAGTAAGACCTGATTTTCTGCAAGGAGCCTTCTGCCAGCTGCGTTTGGCAGGAGACCAGCAACTTCCACAGTTTTCCGCTTCGGCCTGCAGAAAAGTTAGAGCCCACTTCTCGCGTGGCTCTGGTCCAGAAGAACTTGGAAGCTGGTCAGTTTTCTCTGGACCTGACCTCTGCCTTTCTGCCGCTACCCTTCTGACAGCCAACAAAAAATCACTGTGTGTTTTCGCATCCTGATCTGGGTCATATAATTACACCCCGGCTGAATAATCACCCGCGTGAGAACTTCCTGGAGAAGTGACCTTGGACGAGGGAAACTTCCTTCAAAGTTCTTGGGACAGGGGGTGGGACACACGTCTGCAGGCGGTCCTCGACTTACAACACCGTGTTGTTAATTTTTTTTAAAAAAAATTGAAACCAGGAGATGGTGAGTTCTAGTCCCGTCATAAAAGCCGGGTGGGTGATTCTGGGCTAATCACCAGGGGATGGTGAGTTCTAGTGCCACCTTGGGCATGAAAGCTGGTTAGGCAACTTTGGAGCCAATCCCTAGGAGATGGTGAATCCTAGTCCCTCCTTAGGCATGAAAGCCAGCTGGGTGACTTTGGGCCAATCACCAGGAGACGGTGAGTTCTAGTCCCGCCTTAGGCATGAAAGCCAAATAGGTGATTTTGCGCCAGTCATCAGGAGACTGGGAATTCTAGTCCTGCCTTAGGCATGAAAGCTGGTTGGGCGACTTTGGGCCAATCACCAGGGGACTGAGAGTTCTAGTCTCTCCTTAGGGATGAAAGCCAGCTGGGTGACTTTGGGCCAATCACCAGGAGACTGGGAGTTCTAGTCCCTCCTTAGGGATGAAAGCCAGCTGGGTGACTTTGGGCCAATCACCAGGAGACTGGGAGTTCTAGTCCCTCTTTAGGGATGAAAGCCAGCTGGATGACTCTGGGCCAATCACCAGGAGACTGGGAATTCTAGTCCCGCCTTAGGCATGAAAGCTGGTTGAGCGACTTTGGGCCAATCATCAGGGGACTGAGAGTTCTAGTCCTGCCTTAGGCACAAAAGTCGGTTGGGTGACTCGCTCTCTCAGCCCAACCCACCTCACAGGATTGTTGTTTTTTGGGGGTAAAAGGAGGTTTGCCGCCTTGAGTTATTTGTAAAAACAAATCCAAATAAACAAAATAAAATGTGAAACACGAGCATCTTAAATGGCTACCGTAACTACTACTTCCCAGCCTTACGGATTTCCTAGCCAGCAGTTATCATTTTTTACCTAAATGGAAATCTCCTTTTCTGACGTCACCTCAGAGTGCCAGGAATAGGAGGCCGGAACAATTAAGCTATTATGGCACTTCTTTCCCAGCTCACATATGGTGACACTGAAGTGCAAAAGCATGTTCTCGGCCAGCCCCACCCGCCCATCATTAATTCAGAATATCCAGTAATCCGTTTCGCTCTCAGCCAGTTTTTCACCCCACTTCATTCCCACAAACGAAGGAGAGGCGTTGGCCCCCCTTTTCCTAGAATCCAGGCCTCTGAATTGATGTATTTATGTCTATTTATTTATTATTTATGGAGCATATGGCATGTACGGAGGCCATGCGATTGTTTATTGATCGATGATCTATTTTTTATTAGCTATTTATTATCTCTTATCTGATTATCGATTGTCTATTAGTTATGTATTATCTAACAGCTAATTATCGATTTCTATTTATTATTTATGATCTAATTATCGATTATTTATTTATTTATCTAGCATCTCATTATCAATTTCTATTTATTCTTTACTTACCCAATTATCAATTTCTATTATCTGATGATCATTTCCAATTTATTATTTACTTACGATCTAATTATCAATTTCTATTTATTTACTTATCAATTTCCATTTTTTTACTTATTATCTCATTATCATTTCTATTATGTCATTATTATCTAATGTCATTTGCCTCTTTGTTAGTTACTTATTTACAGTATCTAGTATCTCGTTATCAATTTCTATTTATTATTTACTTGTCTATCAATTTCCATTTACTGTTTACTTATCTAATTATTGATTTTTCTGTTTCTTATTTATCTAATTACTGATTGTCTATTTGTTATTTATTTGTCTAGTATCTATCGATTTCTATTTGTTATATACTTATCTAATTATCAATTGTCTATTGGTTTTTTATCTAGCAGCTAATTATCCCTCTTCTATGTTTTATTTAGATAATAATTATCGATTGTCTTTATAATTTATTGTTTATTGATCTAGCATCTAGTGATCTATTTATTGATTATCCCTGTTCCTTTACGCCTCTGACTGGTATTCTAACAATCCTGGGCCATCGCAGGTTCTAGTTCCCATCATCCCCAGCTGATGGGATTACAGAAAGGCAAGGCTGGCAGGGATCATTATAACCCCGGCGTCAGAAACATTCCTGCGCCATCTCTGAACATCTTCCTCTCTCATTATACAGTAAGTGCTGCCGAAGCCATTTGATTGTTCTGGCAGCCGTCCGACCAATCTTGCAAATCAGGCCAAGGATTCTTTTAGCGATTCTTAATGTTGACGATGTCTTCGCCTTCCAAAAATTGGAGGATTCGCAGGAGAAATTCGAAAGGTCGTACTGTGGAGCAGAGCTCCCTTAACAACTGTCTTGCTTAGCCACCGAAACTTGGGGCTGAATTGGTGGTCGTAAGTCAAGGACTCCTTGTACTTTCAGACCTGTCTAGTTGACACCAACCCTTTGAGGTAGTCCAGGGAAGAAGCACCACCCAAAAATACTCACACCTTCCTCCATGTAGTACGTGGTTGGAAAAACATCTCCCCCCCGACTTCTAAAGCCATTGTGGAAGACCAATAAGGCACTGGGGGGGCTCTCAAAAGAAGATCCTATGAGTTCTGAAGCCCCCCACCCTTTTCACTCTTGGTATCAAAAGAGCCGAGTTCCAATCCTTCCCGATTGGATGGGCAATCGGCCATATAATCCCTTTCCGTCAATCCAGTCCCGCTGTGTTTTGTTTTCCTGCAGGGACTTTTTCACCTCGCCCCATCCCTAAAAAACCCACCCAGTTTTCTCCCACAACAGGTGGGCTCCCTACAGTGGGTGGGATTCAAATAATTTAACAACCGGCCAACTCAATGTTACTCATGTCGATGGGCGCTTCGCCTTAGCTGTTACAATGTAATAAGGGTTAACCAGAGAGGCAGTTTCTGTAAACAGGGCAATAAAGATTAGGCTAGAAACACCACCAGAATGTTCCCTTCCTGCCTTCCTTACAGGATTAGTCCTGTAAAGTGGGGAAAAAAAATAAGATTTCTTCCAACAACCGATTCTCCGAACTGCTTAGAAAGTTAACAACTGGTTCTCCCGAATCGGTGCGAACTGGTTGAATCCCACCCCTGGCTCCCTGCCAAAACTTCCCAGGATATTAAAATTAGCCTCTTGGAAAATCTGAATCTGCAAATCTTGATTTTAAATGCAGTTTTTTTTTCCCCCTTTCAACAAAAGGTTCCAAAATTTCCATGCTCCTCCTGACTCGGCGTCCTGCCCCCATCACTCCGGAGCATGGGGGGAAGCCAGGCCTGAAGTTAGGGGGACCCTGACTGGTCCCTCCCTTACTGACACCCCATTCAACTGCCCCCCCCACTTTGCTCTCTGCCTTTTGCAGGGGACACTCCAAGCCTCTTTACTAAAGGTTTTAGACAAATGTGCTTGTAGCATCAGCGCTACTGCAGTGAATGTGCATAGACAGTTGGAATCGTGCCGGGAAGCCGGGAAGGGGTGGGAAGATATGGGGCAGGATTGCAAGCAGGAGATTAGCATCCGAGGGTCACCCATCCACCCCTGTGCCCCACACATATAAACGCCAGGCCTGGTGCAAATGATCTGTGGCTGGTTTTAGAAGCACATGGAAATGTGCAGGCACATGGACACAGTTGCGCTAAGGGCCCTCCCTCCTTCAACAAGAGCCGTTCTCTGCATACTCTCAAGAGGGCTCTTTTGCGCCTTGGGGATGCCCAGCTGCACATCCCAAGCTTGAAGGAGGCTGCGGAAAAGCGGGCAGACGGAGAGGCATCGGCACCGAAGGCTGCCATGCCCACGCGGGCTGTGGCGAGAGACTAGACGGAGCCCTTCCTGCTAGGTTCATCCTCCCTTCGCTGGGGCCTCCTCCGAGACCAACCCACCTGGCAAACCAGACCCATCCGGTGCCAACCTGTGCGAAGGAGCCCCTGCCATATGCCAAGGGAGCTCCTGGCTGGGCACGCCGCCAGGACATCCCGAGCATGTGGCATCCTCGCAAAACCCTCCAAAGGATCGCCCGGGGATAAGCCCGCGACTCCTAGTTTCAAAACACGGGCGCTCGGCCCATAGGACGTGCCCGCACATAGATGCCTGCACTCGTGTTGCCTCGGTTTTCTCCCAGCTTGCTTGGCGGGGGATGGACGGACGGACGGACGGACGACTCCAACCCCCCCCCACTCCACCTCCAGAAGCTACATGGGTCCAGCATGGGCTTCTTTGCGTCGCTCCACGCCAACCCGGCGTGTGCTATGCTGCAAATGTCCCACCTCCTGGATCTGCGGCACCCGGTGTGGTGCGCTGGCACTCCCGAACTCAGCTGCCCATAGAGCAGGGAGCTGCCCCAGTTGGGACCCCCCCACATACACGTGCCCCTCCACCTCGACTGGCCCTTCCCTCCCCTACTCACAAAGTGTGCGCGGCCCGAGGCAGCTGGGCAGGGGAAACGAGAATGGTTTAATTCATGGTGTGGTGCCAGGCAGTGCCTTCCTCCTTCTCTCGGGTCCCCTTCCTTCTCCCGGGAGAGGATGGGGGGGTGGGGGTTTGTCCCTTCCTTCTCAAACCCTGTTGCTCGTCCCCCTAACCCTTGAGAAGGAGCCCAGCATCCCGCACAAAAAACACACACATACACAATAACCGTCACATCACCGTTGGGCTCATGCAGGTGAACAAGATTCCTCTCGGGAATTCTTTTGACCCTAGCTGTTGTTTTGATTGTGAGAAAGTGATTTTTGGAAAGGGGGGAGGGGGGGGGAAGGAGGAGGTGAAGGAATCCTCCAATGGGAAAGCCCCGTCCAAAAATCTGCAGTGCCCCCCTCCTCAAAACTTCTTTCTGGGTTTTTTTTTTCCGGGGTGGGGGGGAAGGGCTCCCAAAAGTGTGTGACCCACATTTTGGGGGGGGGAGAGGGCAGTGAGAAGGATACCCACTCCCCCATCTCCATCAAATCCTCCATCCTAAGACCTCTACTCTTGGCTGGGCCAATTTCTCTTCGGAGTGGGGGGTGGGGAGGTCTCCTCTTGGCTCTCCCCCCCCACCCCCCAAAATAACCTTCTTCCTTATCTATATAGTTTTTTCCCCCTGTTTTCTCCTCACTGGAGAAATCCATGCAGAGTTTCATCCCCGTTTTTTTTTTTTTCCCCTCCGCTCCCGTTAAAAAAAACAAATCTTTCTCCCTATTTGGTGGTGGGGTACCTCCTTCGTCGCATTCCCCTCCCCCACTGCACCCCTTCTTTTAAAAATTTGCAGTGTGGCTTCAACCCCCCCCCGTCTCCCCCAAACTGCTCATCCGTCAACTTTCTTGGTCCGCTGGGAAAAGCCGGGGGGGGGATGGGAAAGAGAGAGAGAAAGAGAAGGAAGGAAGGAAGGAAGGAAGACACCTTTGAAAAGGTGAGAAACCTTTCCCCCCAATTCGTCTGCCATTGCCTTTTCTCCTTCCTTCCTTCCTTCCTTCCTTCCTTCCTTCCTTCCTCCGCCCCGCACCTCTTATTTTTAAATTTCCAAATTTACTTACCTGGTGGTGATGAGCGGGAGGAAGGGAGGGGAGGGGTCGTCTCTGGCTGCTTTCCCCTGCCTGGGGAATCCGGTGCCAACTGCCCAGCTGGGGTGGGGGAGAGAGAGGCAGGCAAAGCTTGAAAGACCGAAGGGATGAGATGGGGGGGGGGGGGCGCGTTGCAATGAATTCTCGCTTTAGAGATGCCTGGCGCGACTTGGCTTTTATAAAAGGAGCTGATTTCTTCTCTTCTCTCTCTCTCTCTCTCTCTCTCTCTCTCTCTCTTTCTCATCCCCCTCCGGCTCTCCTTTCGCTCTGCTCTTCCTCCCCCCCCCGGTTTTGCTTACAAAGCAAGAACGGATCCCATAGATCAAGCAGCGGGGCGTAGAAGCTTGTGGGGGGGGGGGGAAAGAGAGAGAGAGAGAGAGAGAGACCACAGCCAATGTCGGCTAGCGGATTTCTGGCTCCAAAGATGCTCTCTATCTATCTGGGCTGCCTTGTTCGCCGCTCCACCCTGAGATCTTTGTAAAAAAAAAGAAATAATAATAATAATAAGGGGAGGGGGGACCGTTCACCGGTTCTGCAATACAGCGGAGGGGAGGGGGTGAGAGGAGGGGGGGAAAAATCCCGCCGCCCCTAATAAACTAAGATCTGGTGGCTTCCAAGCTTCTCTCTCTTTTCAGGCAGGTACCACTGGATCCATCAGCCCCTCCCAGCCTCTCTCCCCTCCCCACCCCCGCCCCGGTGGAAGGAGGAAGAGCTAAATTTGCGGCAGCCTTTTCTGAGCCCCCCCACCCCCACCCCAGCAGACCCCTGTCCGGGAAAGAACGGGAGAGAGAGAAAGAGAAAGAGAGAGAGAAAGAAAAAAGGAAGAATAAAAGAAAGCAGCCGGCTTCCCGCATCCGCGCGACCCGGGAGACGCGTTCCCACGACGCCCCTAACCCAGATTGGATGGGCGAGGGTCCTGTCTGGTGGGTGACCCCCCTTCCCCCCCAAAAAACCCCAACCCGGGTGAAAGTGGGTCGATGAACGACGCGCCAATGCAGGGGTGGAGAGAGAAAGCCAGCGGGTGCCTTGCGATTCCCAGGGTTGGGGCCCATGGGACTTGTAGTCCTTTCTTTACCCCCCCCCCCACTCCCCGCAATTTGGTGGGGCTGCAGGCTTGGCTTTCAATTAGGGCTTTCCCCCTAAACCGGGCGGGGAGGGAGGGAAGACTCGCAAACGGACGCTCAGCCCCCAAGCCGTCCTCGCGGGGTTGTTGTGATTAGAGAGAGAGAGAGAAAGAAAAAACGGGCGACTTTTGTAAGTCGCCTTGAGCGCTGAAAGAGGAAAGGCGAGCTACAAAAGCCAATGGGGGCGGTTTAATGGAGAGGAAGGGGTTTCCCCCCCCCTCAATAAGAAAGGGGTGATATATAGGGGGGGCTTCGCCTACCTCCTTTCCTCAAGGAAGAGTCAAGATCTCTCTGGGTGCGCAAATGACGCGCCTGCGGAACTCCCTGCTACTCCCCTTCCTTTCCCCCAAAAGCCAGACTTTTTCCCTTTCGATCCCCTCTTGCCTTATTCAACCTTCCTTCCATCAAACGGGTGGGATCATCAGAGGTGGTGAGTTCGATCCTAGGTAGAGAGAGAGAGAGAGAGGCGGAGAGGTAGGGGGGGTGTCTCCTGTTTGGGCAGGGGGTTGGACTAGATGACCTCTAAGGTCTCTCTGTTAATCTGCGGAAGGGAGAAAAAACCTCTCCCCACGCCTCTCCTTCTGCCCCCCCATCTCTCACCCCAAAACTCATCCTTTGAAGCTCCTCCGGCCGCCGCTAGGGGGCGCTTCGCCGGCGGTGGGGGGGGGCGCCTTGTGCATTCCGTTCACGCAAGCTTTTGAACGGTTCGCCTCCCTTTTCGGTGCCAAGATGTGGGGGCTGGAAGGAGGAGGAGAGGGGGGGGGGGAAGAAGAAGGAGGAGGAGAGGGGGGGAGAAGAAGGAGGGGGGGGCAACTTTGCCTTCAGCTGCTGCACCTCCCCTCTCCCCCCAACCTTCTCCCCCCACTCTCAAATCTCAAGCCCCCCCCTCCCCAACGCATTGCATCTCTTGCCCGGTTTTGCAGCTGCAAAATTGAGGGAGAGAGAAGAAGAGAAAAAAACAGGCCAAGTTGCACAGTGACATTGAGGGGGGGGCGCGGGAGAAAGGAAGGGGGGCACCCCCTCTTTCCTGGCAGCTGGGACTCCCCCCCCCATATGTAGAAGGGGAGTGGGGGGGGGCAAAGAAACAACCTGGCCCTGAAAAAGCCACTTTCCACGTTTCTGATCCTTTGGGAAACGGGGCTTAAAGCAAGAAACTCTTCTGTTGCTGAATTGGGGAAGGGGCTTTTTTTGGGTAAGGGAGGGGGGGCTTGGAAGAAGCCCATCACTGCAGGCTCACCCCCCCCCCAAAGGTTGTGGGATCTCAGGGGAATAACACACACACACAAACAAAAAGCGATGAAAAAGAAAAGGGGGGAAAAAGCCATCTCAAAAAGCTGATATTTCTCTATTTTCTCTTATTTCTCTTTTCTCGCCCCCTCCCCAAAAAAAGCGGCGTCTGGCGCCCTCTGCTGCCCATCCCGCGCCACTTCTCCTCCGCGCGCGGGACCTGGTTTCTCTTTTTGTAGGCAAGAAACGGAAATTTGGCCCCAAAATGTGAGTTTAATAATGGGGGTGAGGGTAGAAATAGTTATGAGGATTAAACTGTGGAAGGCAGAATTCTGGGTGCAGAAATGCGAGAGAGGTTTAGGGGTGCAGAAATGCAAGGGACATTCTGGGGTGCCGAAATGCAAGAGAGGTTTTAGGGTGAAAAATGCAAGTGGGGTGCAGAAATGCAAGAGGTTTTGGGGCGCAGAAATGCAAGGGACATTCTGGGGTGCAGAAATGCAAGAGAGATTTTAGGGTGAAAAAAATGCAAGAGAGGTTTTGGAGTGCAGAAATGCAAGAGGTTTTAGGGTGAAAAATGCAAGTGGGGTGCAGAAATGCAAGAGGTTTTGGGGCGCAGAAATGCAAGGGACATTCTGGGGTGCAGAAATGCAAGAGAGGTTTTAGGGTGAAAAAAATACAAGAGAGGTTTTGGGGTGCAGAAATGCACAAGAGAGTTTGGGGATGCACTGCAGATGACAGCAAAGAAGCAGAAATGCCTGAGGCTTGAATTCCAGCAGGTGGCTTGTTAGGTTAAGAGGCAGGTAGTCCTCGATTTACGACCATATAAGCCAGCTATAACTACCTACCTTGTTATTGGACAGCCATTTGTCTGGAATGCTACAGGGTCTCCTGCTTGAACAGGGGGATGGACTAGAAGATCTCTGAGATCCCTTCCAACTCTGCTATGTTGTTATCCTCCTGATCTACAACTCCCCCTCTGATTTGAACCCAATTCCTTGAGTTCCGGGGCAACGGCGGAGTGGCAAAGCAACAGGTGGAGGTGACCATCGGCAGTTGGGATCCCAAACCTGCCCGCCGGCAGCTCTGGACCAGCGGCCGTTTGTCTCGGTTCCTGGGGGCAGCAGGGATGTCCGGTAGTAGCACCCAGGACGAGTGGACCAGACTGCGGCAGACGAGGGTTTATTAACAGGAAGTAGCGGAGGATTAGATCTCTTTGGAAAGAGGAGCTGGAAACAGAACTCATGGAGTCGGTTTTGCAATCAAAACTCCCCCTCAACCCCCCCCCACTGAAAAACGTCTTCCACTTTCCCACTAAAATGAATTTATTCTATTTTGTTTTGTTCTCTATTATACCCTACTCTACTCTATTCTATTTCCAATTCTATTTTCTCTTCTATTTTCTCTTCTCTTCTCTCTTCTATTTTCTATTCTATTCTATTCTGCTCTAATTCTATTCTATTCTATATTCCTATTCCTATTCTATTCTAATTTTATTCTATTCTGCTCTTATTCTATTCTATTCTATTCTGCTCTTCTATTCTATTCTGCTCTTATTCTATTCTTTTCTATTCTGCTCTTATTCTATTCTATTCTGCTCTAATTCTATCCTATCCTATCCTATCCTATCCTATCCTTATATTATCCTATCCTATCGATCGTTTGTCCGAGTTGGTAGTTCTTTGATTGTCGCGCCAATATGACAAGTCACTTGTATATAAATGGAACAAATCCCATTTCCTTGTAGCACTGATGAGGTTACCTAGTACGGTCATGAAATGTCTGCAAGAAAACCGCCATGCTCAGAGAGCACCAAGGACCCCACAGTTGCCCCCACTCTTCCTCCTCCCCATTAACTCCACTCCCTCCTAGCACTGATGATGTCACCTCGTTGGGTCATGCAAGGAATCCCCAAGCTCAGAGACCAGCACAGCGCTGCCAGTTTCGGAGACCTCGTCCCTCTCTATTGCCGAGATCCAAAAAGCGATCTCGCTCTTGCAGATAAAGCTCAAATAAAGCAAGGGATTGGACAGCTTTCCTGCTAGGATCCACGAAGCGCTAGGCTCAAAATACTGAGTCTAGGCATCTTCCAGGCATCGTTTGGTCCACCCAGGAGATGCCCGATGACTTCCTCCTTGCGGCTGTTTGTGAAAAAAATAAGGGAAGCAAATCAGACAGTGGTGGAAGCCACAGGGGTGTGTGTGTGTGTCACACCTTTAACGGTAACAGAGTTGGAAGGGATCTTGGAGGTCATTTAGTCCAACCCCCTGCTCACGTAGGAGACCTGGACTACCCTGTTTCCCCCAAAATAAGACGTTCCCCTGATAATAAACCCAATCAGGCTTTTGAGGGTATGGCATTAAGGCCAAGTGCTTATTTCAGGGTTCAAAAAAATATAAAACAGGGTCTTATTTTTGGGGAAACACGGTATCTATCTATCTATCTATCTATCTATCTATCTATCTATCTATCTATCTATCTAATTTATATAGCCTATCTCATCAAAAACAATCTTCCTTCCTTCCTCCTTTCATTCCTTCCTTTCCTTCCCTCCACTCATATCTATCTATCTATCTATCTATCTATCTATCTATCTATCTATCTATCTATCTATCTATCTAATTTATATAGCCTATCTCATCAAAAACAATCTTCCTTCCTTCCTCCTTTCATTCCTTCCTTTCCTTCCCTCCACTCATATCTATCTATCTATCTATCTATCTATCTATCTATCTATCTATCTATCTATCTATCTATCTAATTTATATAGCCTATCTCATCAAAAACAATCTTCCTTCCTTCCTCCTTTCATTCCTTCCTTTCCTTCCCTCCACTCATATCTATCTATCTATCTATCTATCTATCTATCTATCTATCTATCTATCTATCTATCTATCTAATTTATATAGCCTATCTCATCAAAAACAATCTTCCTTCCTTCCTCCTTTCATTCCTTCCTTTCCTTCCCTCCACTCATATCTATCTATCTATCTATCTATCTATCTATCTATCTATCTATCTATCTATCTATCTATCTATCTATCTATCTATCTATCTAATTTATATAGCCTATCTCATCAAAAACAATCTTCCTTCCTTCCTCCTTTCATTCCTTCCTTTCCTTCCCTCCACTCATATCTATCTATCTATCTATCTATCTATCTATCTATCTATCTATCTATCTATCTATCTATCTAATTTATATAGCCTATCTCATCAAAAACAATCTTCCTTCCTTCCTCCTTTCATTCCTTCCTTTCCTTCCCTCCACTCATATCTATCTATCTATCTATCTATCTATCTATCTATCTAATTTATATAGCCTATCTCATCAAAAACAATCTTCCTTCCTTCCTCCTTTCATTCCTTCCTTTCCTTCCCTCCACTCATATCTATCTATCTATCTATCTATCTATCTATCTATCTATCTATCTATCTATCTATCTATCTATCTATCTATCTATCTTCTAATTTATATAGCTCATCTCATCAAAAGCAATTTTCCTTCCTTCCACATCTATCTATCTATCTATCTATCTATCTATCTATCTATCTATCTCTATCTATCTATCTTCTAATTTATATAGCTCATCTCATCAAAAGCAATTTTCCTTCCTTCCTTCCACATCCATCTATCTATCTATCTATCTATCTATCTATCTATCTATCTATCTATCTATCTATCTATCTATCTATCTATCTATCTATCTATCTATCTTCTAATTTATATAGCTCATCTCATCAAAAGCAATTTTCCTTCCTTCCTTCCACTCCTATCTATCTATCTATCTATCTATCTATCTATCTATCTATCTATCTATCTATCTATCTATCTATCTATCTATCTATCTATCTATCTATCTATCTATCTATCTATCTATCTATCTTTCTTTCTTTCTTTCTTTCTTTTCTTTCTTTCTTTCTTTTTGTCACATGCTTTCTTTCTTTCTTTCTTTCTTTCTTTCTTTCTTTCTTTCTTTCTTTCTTTCTTTCTTTCTTTCTTTCTTCTTTCTTTCTTTTTCTTTCTTTCTCTGTCACACGCTCTCTCTCTCTCTCTCTCTTTCTCTTTTTAAATTCCTTTTCCCGGGTTCTCCTCCTCTTTCTCTAGCCCCGATTGGGCGGCAGCCCCGCCTATCCTCCGGCCCCTTGGTCCCGCCTCCTCTCCTTGTCGATCAGCCATGCAGCCAACAGAGCCGGCCCTTCCTGGGTCTTGGTAAGCCGGGGGGAGGGGGCGTCTTCTCGCCCCCTTTTTTTGCAAAATAGAAAAGGTGGGGTAGGGTGGGAAAAAGAGGCAGGCTAGCAAGTTTGCAAAAATAAAAATAAAAATGCAAGGGCCTTTTAAAGCTGGCTTAAACCCGGCTTGCTAGCTAAACCATGCTTGGAACTGCCATCTGCATGCTGAGTCAAGGGAAATCCACTTGCAAACTACCTTAAAGTGGGGTGCACAAGGGCGCCCCCAAAAGAGAGGGGGCTTTGCAGGCCCTCGCAAAAAGCCCCTTTGCTCGTGAGAACCTGGATCTTTCCTTGCCTAATGCAATGCTTTGAGGGCCTTTTGCAACCCTGTGCAATGCCCCCTCCCCCTCTTTGCTTTTAGGGTGGGGGGTCGCCTGATGAAGCGTGCTGCAGCCCCCAAAATCTTGCCCCTTTCTCTCTCTGAAAAGGTGCTGCTGGAAGGGGTGCAGTAGCAAAGACGAGCCGCTAGAGGGCGGCCTTTCCAGCTAACTAGGGGTCTGAAGGGTGTAGTGGCGCAAAGGAGCCGCTAGGGGGCGTCTCATTTGCAAAGTTTGCATCCAAACTTTTTTGGGTCCCTGCTTGGATGGGGCACCACCAGGAGATCCCAAAGCTGTAAGGCTACAGCGAGACGTTGGAAAAACATCCTGCCAGGCCGGGCTATCAATATAAAGATTTTAATTGGTTTTAAATTGGGTTTTTAAATTCGGGGTTTTATAAATTGGGCCTACTATTTAATAATTTTAATTATTTTTAAATATTGTCTGCCTGTCTTTGGGTTTTAATTAGGCTGTACACCGCCCTGAGTCCTTCGGGAGAAGGGCGGTATAGAAATAAAATAAATAAATAAATAAATAATAAATAAAATCCCGGGAATCCCAAAACACAGCCAGGCGGTTCCCAGCGTCGTCGTGTAAAGTGTGACTTTCCCAGAGTCGGTTGTAAACGGCATTCAGGGGTTCCCTCATAGGGTTGGACTAGATGACCTCCAAGGTCCCTTCCAACTCTCTTACTGACCTACAACCACAGTCGAGCCCCAAAAATTCCGTTGCTGAGCAAGACGGTTGTCTTAAGCCAATGCTGCTCCCATTTTACGACCTTTTCTTGCCGCAGTGGTTAAGTGAAACCCCAGCAATCGTTACATTAGCAAACACGGTTGTTAAGCGAATCGGTCTTCCCCGTTGACTTGGCTTGTCGGAAGGTCGCAAAAGTGGATCACGTGACCCCCTGGCACGCTGTGACTGTCATAAATCTGAGTCAGTTGCCAAGCGTCTCAATTTTGATCACCGTGATCCTGTGAAGGGCCGTAAGTCATAAGTCACTTTTTTCAGTGCCGTAACTTTCGTCAAGGGATGCGGTGACTCAGTGGTTAAGACGCCAAGCTTGTCTAAGACGCCGAGCTTGTCGATCGAAAGGTCGGCAGTTCAGCGGATCGAATCCCTAGTGCTGTCGCGTAACGGGGTGAACTCCCGTGACTTGTCCCAGCTTCTGCCAACTTAGCAGTTCGAAAGCAGGTAAAAAATGCAAGTAGAAAAATAGGGACCACCTTTGGTGGGAAGGGAACAGCGTTTTCCGTGCGCCTTTGGCGTTGTCATGCCGGCCACATGACCACGGAGACGTCTTCGGACAGCGCTGGCTCTTCGGCTTTGAAACGGAGATGAGCACCGCCCCCTAGAGTCAGGAACGACTAGCCCATATGTACGAGGGGAACCTTTACCTTTAACTCTGGTCACTAAATGGACCGTTGTAGATTGAGCACTACCTGTGTAGAGAGCCGAGGACTAATTACAGGCCTGTGTCGGATAGCAGAGACAAGTATCCAATTCTGCTCCTTTTAGGGTCCCCGAACGGACTGTGTGGTTAAACACTGGCGCCCCCATGCCACTTCTGGGCCTTGGCACCTTCCGTCTTAAGGGCGACGAGGCCGTGCGTGCCAGCCTGGATGCAGCTCTGGCGAACGGCTACCGCTTGGTGGATACAGCCGCCGTCTACAGCAACGAGGCCGCGCTCGGACGAGCCCTTAAGGATTTGCTGCCTCGCCACCGTCTCACCCGCTCGGACGTTTTTCTGACCAGCAAGCTGAGCCCAAGAGACCACGGAGAGGAAGCTGCCTACACAGCTTGCCTTCGTAGCTTGCAAGACCTAGACTGCGGTTACCTGGACCTCTACCTCATCCATTGGCCGGGGACTCAAGGCCGGCCTCAGGACGACACTGGGAACCCGGAACGTCGGCTGCGAAGTTGGCGCGCCCTGGAGAAGCTGCATGAAGCTGGGAAGCTCCGAGCTATCGGCGTTTCCAACTACACCGTCCGTCACCTTCAGGAACTGTTAGCCGGCTGCAAAGTGCCACCTGCTGTCCTGCAGGTGGAATGCCACCCCGAACTCGCGCAGACGGAGCTGCTCGAATTTTGTACCCGGAACGGCATCCATTTGCAAGCTTATTCCTCGCTGGGGACCGGTCCGTTGGTAGAGCACGCTGTAGTACGGGCCGTAGCCCAGCGGCAAGGTCGCACGCCTGCTCAGGTCTTGCTCCGTTGGGCTCTGCACCGAGGCGTCAGCGTGATTCCCAAGTCGGTGTCTCCACGCCGCGTGGCTGAAAACGGCCAGCTGTGGTCGTGGGACTTGAGCCAAGCCGACATGGAAGAGCTACGACGCCTGGATTGCGGGAAACGGTATTGCTGGGACCCCACCAGGGTGGCATAAGAGGGCCTGCCACGAATTCCTCCAGCTGAAAGCGGGAGTCTTCCAACTCTTTTGAGAAGGTCACCCCGCTTCGTGAAGCCGATTTCCTATTTCGAAGCTTGTTGTCTTGCGAGGTGCCAACACTGGTTGCTAATTGTTAGTTTAGCGCCTTTCCGTAACTGAGTCATGTATGGCTGAGTCAACCCTATATTAGCCAGGTTTACAAATGTCAGGCTATTTTAGTCGCTCGTTTTGGGGGGGGGGTGAGATCTGAGCCTCCCACCCAGCTGCGAGGTCGCAGGGTGAAGAAACGGGCACGATATGAGAAGCCAGAAATAACAACCTTTATATACATTTTTTGTTTCTTTAGGAATTAAGACAAATAAACAGCAACAATACACAGAGTGAAGGTGAGAAAAAATTTAGGGTTTTTTTGTTTCCTTGTTAAAAAACGGGTATTTGCCTTGATTTTCTGGAGTGGATGGGGGACCGTGGAAAATTAGGGGTGTTGGATATTGGGGAAGGGGGGGAAAATATCCCCGGAATTTAATCAAGGGTTAAACGGGCAGAGGGTAAAAATCTGGATGGTGCCATAATGTCAGATCCGGTGTAAACTTCTTGTTAGTGGCGTAAAGAATGGGAATGTTAGGGAACGAATTCGGTACCCGGAATAATTTTGAGATACCACAGAGGAAAAAGCGTACGGTCGAAACCCCACCAAGTTTCTCCCTCCCACCCCACCCCACCCTCCCAATCCCCGTAACAGGTAGTAGCAGCAGCAAAACCCGGTTAAGAACCGGAAGGTCCGTTCTCCGGGCAACTTCGGCGCCACCACGACCGCAGAGTGTCCTTCCAGCTGGGAGGGTGGTCCATGTGGGAACAGGTCCCGGCGCTTTTCGGGCGCGGAAGCTTCTGAAAAAGAGGGGAGAAAGCATGAGGGTGAGGCACCGGTGAACCGACGCGCTATACCGATCGGTAAAATGTCACCGTTGCGCCAATCGGTTGGCGTCTTTCTTTTCTTGAACCGTTTCTCGTTTTGACCAAAGTGGAAAGAAGGATGTTTTTCTCTTTTTGTGATGCGTTAAACCAAACAAAGGTTTGAATTAGAATTAAATTTAGAATTAAAATTAGAATACAGGTGTCAACTCCCTGCTTTCGAGTTGCCATAAGCAGGAAGGGGAGGGGGGAGAACTGATGGAGCTGCCTCGACCGAAAGCACATTCTACACATGCCTTTCTCCAGATTGCATCCCAGGTTACCGGAGCCAGCAGGGGAGATGTAGTTTCTACAGAATGGGAATGGAGAATGTGATTTATGACACACCCAGGGAGGAGGGGGGGAAAAAACAGGGTCATAGGAGGGCCATAAATTACGCGGAGGCAGAGCTGACTCCGCTTGGGTAATTGCCGAAAGGTTGCTCCTAATAAATAACTGGATCTCTTTTGAAACTTGGCTTGAGGCTCATGAATTCATTAGGGCATCCTTCGGAAACTTGACAACAGGTACTGTGTTTTCCCGAAAATAAGACCGGGTCTTACGTTAATTTTTGCTCCAAAAGACACATTAGGGCTTATCTTCTGGTTAGGGCTTATTTTGGGGGAAATACTGTTATTCAATTCCAGTTCGTTCCATTTTGTTCTTCATTCCAATATTCCTTTCCTATTCTTCTATTCTGAATCCTATTCTACTCTACTCTATTCTATATTCTATTTTCTATTCTCTTTCTATTCTTATTCCTATTCCTACTGTGTTTCCCCGAAAATAAGACCGGGTCTTATATTAATTTTTGCTCCAAAAGATGCATTAGGACTTATTTTCTGGTTAGGTCTTATTTTGGGGGGAAATACGGTACTAAATGCAACATCTGGCTTAACTGGGGCTTATTTTGGGGGTAGGGCTTATATTACGAGCATCCTGAAATATGCTAGGACTTATTTTCCAGTTGGGTCTTATTTTCGGGGAAACCGACGGCGGCAAGAAAAGTCGTAAAACGGGGCAAAATTCGCTCATGTTTCTCTGAGCGACAGAAATTTGGGTCTCTTGTTGTTCTAAGTCGAGGACTTACCTGTAGGTTACTCCCTTAGTAATGCTCATTTGGAAGACTCCCATAAAGGTAAGGATCGCTCGGCGGTTTGTGAAGCTTGCATCCCCTGCACTGCGCCAAGACTTACCTGCAGGGCGCCGTGAAATTCATCGCTCATCCTGCGTAATTCTCGGCCGTATCGCTGCGCGGCCCACAAAATGGGAGGGGCGGAGCGGGAGCGGGCCCGGAAAGCCCCCACCTCATCGGAGGTTTCCGAATCGAGTTGGTCGGACCCAATGCGGCGCCTCAGTTCTACAAAGTGAGAAATTTCCAGTTAAAAGAAAGCGGCGTCGCAACGCACAAACAACTTTTACAGGTAGCCCTCAATTTACGACCGCGACGGAGATCAGAATTTTCTGTCACTAAGCAAGGCGGCTGTTAAGCGATCAACGCCTGATTTTGCAACCTGTGGTTAAGTGTGCTGCAACCATTGTTCAGTAAATCACAACAGGGGCTTTCCCCCCACCATCGGCCTTGTTGGAAATTGGTCGGTGAGTCGCAAATGGCCAATCACACAACTTTCATAAACGCAGGGCCGGCGGTGGCCGAGCACCTGAATTTTCATTACGTGACCCAAGGGAATTCTGCCACAGTCGTCATAAGTTGAGGATTCGTCATAAGTCAATTTTTTTTTCAAGCGCTGTTGTAACTTCAATAAAACAATATTTGTAGCTTCAGGGTTGAAATGAGGGCACTCTCTGAGCTTGTTTTCTTGAGGACGTCTCATGACCCAACTAAGTAACACAATCAGTGCTAGAAGGGAGTGGGATTTGATCTCTGCAAGGAAGCACATAAAGAGAGAGCAAACCCCTCTCTCCCTTCATTCAGCACTGATGAAGTTACCTTTCCCACTAGATGAATTTAGTCTATTCTCTATTCTAAATCTGTTCTATTCTATTCTGTATTCTATTATCCTCTTCTTATTCTCTTTGTATTCTTATTCTACTTCTAATCTTATTCCTATTTTTTTTTCTTCTCTAATTCTGTTCTAATTTTATTCTATTCTATTCTCTTTTTTCTATTCCATTTTCTATTCTTTCTATTCTATCTTCTATTCTATTGTATTCCATTCCATATTTTCTATTCTATTTCTATTCCATTCCTTCTATTCTATTCCTTATTCTATTCTATTCTATTCTATTCCTTATTCTATATCTATTCTATTCCTTCTATCTATTCTATTCTCTATTCTATTCTATTCTATTACTTAATCTTTTTTTAAAAAAATATTTGATTTATATGCCGCCCTTCTCCGGAGACTCAGAGCGGCTTACAATGCGTTAAGCAATAGCCTTCATACTTTTTGTATATTTATACAAAGTCAGCTTATTGCCCCCACAGGGTCCTCATTTTACCTACCTTAGAAAGGATGGAAGGCTGAGTCAACCTTGAGCCTGGTGAGATTCGAACTTGCAGTAATTGCAGGCAGCTGATGTTAATAACAGTGCTTTAGTCTGCTGCGCTACCAGGGCTCTGGTATTCTATTCTATTCCTTATTCTATTCTATTCTAGTCTTTATTCTATTCTATTCTATTCTATTCTATTCTATTCTTTATTCTATTCGATTCTTTATTCTATTCTATTCTATTCTTTATTCTATTCGATTCTTTATTCTATTATATTCCTTATTCTATTCTATTCCTTATTCTATTCTATTCCTATTCCTATTCTATTCTATTGATTGTTTAAGTTGGTAGTTCCTTGATTGTCCCACCAACGCGTCAAACCACTTGTCTAGAAACGGAAGCAAACCCCCCTCCCTTCTAGCACTGATGAGGTTACTCAGCTGTCCCATGAAACGCCTGCAAGAAAGCCACCAAACTCAGGGAGCACCGAGGAAGCCCTCCTTCCAGCTGTCACTAAACGAGTGGCCGCCGGTCTAGGAATAACCTGTACGAGGCCATCGTATGAACCGTCTGGCGTGATCTGATAGGGATTTCCTTCGGTGGAATCCAGAGGGTGTGGATTTTAACATCGCAGCTGAACAGGGCGAGGTCCCCGTGGTACGCTCAGCTGGACAAGAGCAATTTTCACGTCACTTAATGGGGCTTTTAAGCTTGTCTGAAGACGCGTCGTATCAATTTTGACAGCAGCGTCATTGTGTTTTCAACTGAACGGCTCAGATTTTGAATAAAACAACCGTCTTATATAAAAGGCAAATTTGGGGGGAGGAGGGCGCACAGACAAGAAATCCCCCAAATTCCTTTCCACGTTCCTCTTCCCTGTCCAGCAACCTTAAAATTAGCCCGAGCTAAAATTAAACCATAGATCACACGCCCTCGGCAGTTCCCCGACTTCTGGCCGTTCGGTTCAACAAACTTCAAAGTTGGAAACAGTGCTGGAAAAGCGATGACCGGTCCTCGCATTTACGACCGTCGCTACGTCCCACCTGATGAAAACTCAAAATGCCGGGCTGCTGGCATGTATTTATTAAGACAGTTGCAACATCCCTTGGGGACATCTAGATCATCGTTTGTGCCTTCTGACAAGTCAAGGAGGGAGGCTGGATTTGATTGACGACCGCAAAGAATCAAAAGTCCAAAAAAGATGGTAAAATGAATGATGGCTCACTGAATGACCGTATCGCTTAGTGATGGACGTTCCGAACCTAATTGGTCATAAGTTGAGAACTGCTTCAGGGGTGGGTTCTAAATTTTTTTTACTACCGATTCTGTGGGCGTGGCTTCTTTTCTGGGCGTTGCTTGATGGTCATGTGACAATTATTTAGGATTTTAACTGCAGAGTTGTACCGATCTACCCATTTATTTTTTTGCAGGCACTGATCTACTCATGTATTTTTGCAGGCACTGATCTACTCATGTATTTTTGCAGGCACTGATCTACTCATGTATTTTTGCAGGCACCGGTCTACTCATTTGTTTTCTTTTAACACTGATCAGCTGTAGGGCGGCCCTTCGAAGCCCCTCGGCAACAGTTTGAACAGTTTTTTCCTTATAGCCCATCAGCTGGGACTCAGGAGGCAGCAATAGATTGGGGGTGGGGCCAAAGAAAAGGTAAGAATAGCGCGGGGGAGGGCAGAATCAGTTCGGTGATGTCATATCGTCACCGTTACCGGTTCGGGAGAACCGGGCCGAACCGGGAGGAACCCACCACTGAACTGCTTGCGTTTTGACATCTTTTCAAACTCCCCTGCGTTACACGATAGGTTGCTATTTGCAACTAGTGCAAATCCATCGTACTGCGGTTTAACCGAGAGACCTCGATAAAGTAAAACCAGGTTTAAACCAGGGCTGTTTTCACACGTGTCTGTCTAAAAAGCTACCTGAGAGCTGAGAGATTGTGGGAAATACCGTAGCAAGCCGCTTCCTCTCACCTGGGTTTTCATGAGAGGGGCTGTTCAGATCCTTGGCCCCCCCGACACTCAGCTTGAGATCCGCGGGGTCCTTTTCACTCGTGGAGAAAGTTTCATCTTGAAATTCGGAAATCTGGAACATGGTCAGGGGGCTGTCATTGCCCCTGCCTCTTGACTCTGGGTTTTCCAGAAGGCTTGGAGGTAGTAGACTGCCTGCCTGTGAGGGAAGAGAGCGAGGGAAGGAAGGAAGGAAAATTGGAGAAGGGAGGAAGGGAAAGGAGGGAAATAGGGAAGGAGGGAAATAGGGAAGGAGGGAAAGAAGGAAGGTGAATTAGTGGGGAAGGGAAGAAGAGGGAGGAAGGAAAATTGAAGGAGGAGGGAGGAAAAGAAGAGATGGAGGGAAAGAAGGAAGGTGAATTAGAGGGGAAGGGAAGAGGGAGGAAAGAAGGAAAATTGGAGGGGAAGGAAGGGAGGGAGGAAAAGGAGAGAAATAGGGAGGGAGGAAGGAAGAAAAATTGGAGAAAGAAGGAGGGAGGGAGGGAGGAAAAAGAAATGGGGAAAGAAGGAAGGTGAATTAGAGGGGAAGGGAAGAAGGAGAGGGAGGGAGGGAGAAAATTGGAGAAGGAAGGAGGGAGGGAGGAAAAGAAGAAAAATAGGAAGGAAAAGGAAGGTGAATTAGAGGGGAAGGGAAGGAGGAGAGGGAGGAAAATTGGAGAAGGAAGGAGGAAGGAAAAGGAGAGAAATAGAGAAGGAAGGAAGGAGGGAAGGTGAATTCAAGGAGAAGACGAAGGAAAATTATTGAAGAAGGGAAGGAAGGAAAAGGAGAGAAATAGGGAAGGAAAGAAGGAAGGAAGGGGAATTCGAGGAAAAGGGGAGAGAAGAAGGGAAGGAAGGAAGATTGGAGAAAGGAAGGAAAAGAAAAAGGGGGAAGGAAGGAAAAGGGAAGGAAAGAGAATTGGAGAAGGAAAGAGGAAATGGAGAGAGGAAATGAAGAAATAGGGAGGGAGAGAAGGATAAAGGCATTTATATTTTATATGTGTATGTCTATAATAAATTAATTAAAGCAAACTAAATTATTCCACCATATAATATCCCAACCTTCGGAGTCTGATTGTTACCTTGTCCGATGTGTCGCTTTTGACACAGACCAGTTGCATCTTCCCAATTTTTTGGCAGGACATTTTTTTTTTTTTTACACACTAGTGTTCCCCTAGCATTGCTGGCTGGGGCATTCTGGAAATCGAAGCCCACCCCTCTTAATAGTGGCTGAGATGGAGGAAAGGGATGCTCCTGGGAACGCTGCCAGGGTTGCCTAAACCCGGTTAACACCGCACGAACAAATGTGATGTTCACCCAAGAGCGCGTCCCAACAACACAATTTTGCGCATTTCCTGGCACAACAGTTGGGCAAAACTCACACCCCCAAAGGTGTAGACTTCCCACCGAAGCTCCCTGATCCAATCCTAACTTTTAAGACTAGCTGTTTGTGTGAACTCCACTTCCCGGTGAGCAAAGCTAGGATTACAATCGAAGGGGGGCAGGTTACACACACCAGGAAACAGCGTCCAGCTGAAAAAAACTTCACAATCCTGACTCACAAGACATTTAGCTCAAAAACTTCACCAATCCTGACTCACAGATATCGCTCAGATATGAGCAAAATGACCGAAACCCTCCCTGGCCACTCCTCTAGCTGTAGGAAACCCCAGAATCGTTGGGTGCTGCCATCGAAAAACAGAGAGAGATGTAACAGTGACAAAAGAGTTGGAAGGGACCCGGGAGGTCATCTAGTCCAACCCCCTGGTTCCCACGTTTGGCCACACCCAGGTTTGCAAAAGATGCTTCCCCCAGGATTGTCACATTCGAACCTGGCTCACTTCAACAAATTCCTGCCCACCGCCCCAAAAAACAACAACAACAACACAACCCTTTGGGTATCCAGAGGTTTTGAGCAAGCCCCCCCCACCCCTTACCAACACTTGGCAGCCCCCCCCCCTGATTCTCTCCTTTTTGCCTCTTTTGCTCAGCTGCCCACTTCCCTACAATTCTTTTTTTTTAAAAAAAATCTAGTGGCAGGGAGTTCTGCACGGCTTTGGGCAAGCCCCCCCCTTACCAACACCTGGCAGCCCCCCCATTCTCTTCTTTTTGCCTCTTTTGCCCAGTGCTCACTTCCCTGCAATTCTTTTTCTTTTTAAATCTAGTGGCAGGGAGTTCCGCAAAGCTTTGGGCAAGCCCCCAACCCCTTACCAACACCTGGCAGCCCCCCGCCCCGATTCTCTCCTTTTTGCCTCCTTCGCCCAGCTGCTCGCTTCCCTGCAATTCTTTTTTTTTTTTTTAAATCTAGTGGCAGGGAGTTCCGCAAGCACATCGCAACCCCTCTTCCCAGCTCCCTGGGGCGAAGCTTTTTTTTCTCTCTCTCTCTTTCCCTCTCCCCTGCATAACTGGGCAAACCCCCCACCCACCTTTTCCATCCATCCATCCACCGCAGCTTAAAGCCCCCGAGATGCGTGCGCAAGGTTGCAGATGCAAGCCCACTCCCCTTTTTTCCCCTCCACTCCCCCCTTTTTTTTTTTTTGCAAATCCCCCCCCCAATCGCCCCCTTCCACCCCAGGTCTTGCAGGCTGCTGCACCCCCCACCCACTCACCCACCCACCCCCAAATTTTCCAAATTGCAAAGAGGGGAGGGGGTGCAATGCAATGCATCCCCTCCCCATCCCGACTCCCCCTCCCCAATTTTTTTGCATTCCTTTCCTGAGCTGGGGGATGCATGCCAAGCCCCCTCCCCAGGTTTTTCCACCCCCCCCCGCCCTTATTGCAGCCCCCCAGCATGAAATCCGGCTCCTCCTGCCTCCCCCCCACCTCCCCCCGGCCCGGGGCTGCCCGATGCGCTCACCTGCGGGGACGGAGCGCTGCCTCTGCGCCCTTCCTCCTGTTTACCGCGAGCCGCCAGCCCAGCCGGAGTCGCCAAGGCGATAAAGAACTGCCACCGGCGGGGACCAATCAGGAGCGGCGACGTCAGAGGGGGGGGCGGAGAGGAGGGGGGAAAGGCTCCGCCCTTTTGGAGGGGGGAGCATCAACCCACCTCCCCCCCCCCGTCCTATTTCCCCAGGATTGAGTTGGGGGAGTTTGCAGTTTTTTTCTCTCCTTTTCCTTTTTTTTTTTCCTCTCTCTCTCTTTCTTCTTTTCTTCTTTTTTCTCTGCCC